AGTCAAGAAAACTTTTGCAATCAAACACTATTAATTGGGTGAAGTTGGAAAACATTTTCTTTTTCCACCTAATTTTCTATGCTATCAAACACAGCCTTAGAGCTTGTTTATGCTCAAGGGTGGCAACAATTTGAGCCAAGTCGAGCTGAAATTCGAAGCTCGAGCACGGCTCGAGCAAAATGGGTTCGGGCTCAGTGGAAAAAAATTGAGGAAAAGGCTCGGGCCTCAGCGGGTCAGTCCAATTTTTTTATTTTTTATATATATAATACAAAGGCAGCTACACAGCTGTCTTTTTCTCCCCTTCCGTTTCAATTTTTTTTAAAAAAAAATTATACGGCCACACTGGCCGACTCGACTCGGCCCGATTTCCCAAAATGGGCTCAGCCTAAGCTTCGGTTCGGTTCTACTGAGCCTTGGCCCGATCTGGCTTGGACTTTTCTCGAGTCGAACCACGAGCGACCCTAGCTCCCAAACCAAATTGACATACCTATTTATGCTTCCTCACATTTTACACTTGTGTAATTCAAACAATATAGTATAGTTTATGGAAGATTGTGCTAGTAGCTAGATTGTTTATTAAACTTGAGCACTTCACAAAAATAGGTAAAACCCATCATTGCCTAAAAAACATTGGTCTTTTTAACAATCTTCTTCTTAGGCTGAGTTTAGCCTCTTCTTTTCACAATCACACCCCCAACGGCTATGATGCAGTACCATCTAGTGAAAAATAATTGGTTTCAAGATTCAATCATAACTTTTCAAATATATTTAGTATTGAACTAACTCAATTTTGAAATGAAAAAAAAAAAATTTTAAAAAATAAGAAGTAATTGATCCAATATTGCAAGAAAAATCAAACATCTTGAAATAAAAATCGAGCAAAATAAGGAACCGAACGTAGATTCTTCAAAAAACCAAAACTCAATAAAATAATGAAGTGAATGAGACTTGTAAAGTGATTTGAAATCTACTTTGTCAACATGAACCGTGTGAAAATTTTTAGAATAAACAAAGTCATCTTTTTTTTTTGTTTTTTTGATATGAAAACAAAGTCATCTTTAACATGCACATCAATGGAGAGAGAAAAATAATGCACATTTATTTTATTTTTTAATGGTTGAGGAAAACCATGATTACATCTCTCAAACAAACTGACATCCCAACTAGAAAAATTAACGACGCAAGTATTGAAGTTCCCATCTATTCAGAGGGCAAACTTCCTACAAGTTGTGGAGGCAAACAACCTCCAAAATGAAACGTTAACGATGAGCCACCAGCCTCCTGTTGGAAACAATAAAGACCTAGATAGAACTAATAACGCAACGAATTTACAAAACAGAATAATATCACTACAATATATAGATTGACAACAAAATTAACATAAATGATACTGACTTGAATTTCA